GATGAGGGCAACAAATGTATAGATGTGCTTTACACAATTGATCTATGTATTGTGATGAATTGTATGAGCCCCAATAAATTGATTAACTAAAAAATAAATAAATAAATAAATAAAAAAGAATACTCTTTAAGCAGCAGCATTATAAATTTGCATAAAATATATAAATATAGGTCTATACATAAATATAATAACAGTATAAATGAGGAGTGTTTGTTTATACAGTGATTTAGAGAAAGGGTAGTTTCAACTGCTCATCTTGGAGAAAAGAGAAGTATTTTAAATAATGTAGGATATAGGTTTCAGTGATTTAAATTAAAGTAACTATCGAAGTCCTCAAGTTTCATTTTAGTTCATTTTTCCACCAAAAAGTCACTCTAACTACTGAGGTAAGTAATATTCACATAAGCAAAAACTTCTTTTCATTTTACTCATACTTTTCCAGCTCCCACTGAACAGATCCACCTGCTCCAGTTTTATCTCAGAAGGTTCAATGCATGACTTCATTTATTGTGATCAGTTTGCTAATCTTTGGTAGTGTCTCCTTATCTTAAATTTAATTTGGCATCTGTTCCCAACTTTGATTCTGCAAAGCAATAGTTCATTTGGATTTGTGAATGATTCAAATACTTATTTCTATTACATGAATGCATTTATTCTCTCATTTACCTGGATCCATATCCATCTAAGTACATGCTCACAGTATTCAGCTGAGATCATAGCTCAAAAATAATTTCAGGACTTTTATGAAGATATAAAAATAAAAGTGATTATGAAAAAAGAATTATGCATCATGGGAATATCCTGGGGAGAAACACTGGTGATGACGGTGTTGGTGTAAGTAATGGTTCTGGAATCTTGGACTGATGCTCCACATGTACTGGAATGTAAAGGTGGGTGTTTAGAATCTATTCAGAGGATCTAAGAAGGAGAGATTCATTCCATAAAGGTTGAATAAACAGGTAAATGGTTGTAAGCATGGTGAAGTTAGAGATGGTGGCCAAAGCTATAGATATGGATATGTGCTGGTTGATTGTGCTCCTATGGTCATGAGAATAGTAGTGATCAGAGAGAGCATGTGAATAAGAATGCTCTCTTTAAAGAAACATTTAAGGAAGATGTGTTTGAAATCTAGTGTGCTGAAATTTTGAGTCTTCGTGGTTACCCATGGACATGTGAGATGGAACTTCTCTTACTTGAGAAGCTATGTGGGACTTAGAAAATTCTGTTTATCCAGAGGGAGCAGCATCTCTTGAATTAGATTCCAGAACCTAATAATACAGGCTGCAAAGTTGAGCAAAGCCATTTGAGAAATAGAGATGATCTTCTTTACTTCCCTGTGTTTAACTGCATGCCCTGGAGGATGCTCTACAGAGAGCTAGTCACGCATGGCAGCCTCGGGGAATAGGGAATAGATACGTCAGGAGACTATAGGAGTATTTTTAGCAGTATGTGTATAAATAGGAAAGTGTTTTAGGAATAGAAAGCTTCCATGGTGAAACACACAAGTCCTCATATCATCAGAATATTCAGGTAAACAGCCTGGAAGGGGCCGTGGAACTGAGAGTAGTTGAAGAAGAGAATTGGAAGAAGGCTTGATCCTCCATGAGTGAGGCCTATTAGAATAGGGGAGAAAAACTCTTGGGGCACTGACATTCAGCAGTCACTCCCAAGCCCACTGGATAAATATTTTTTGTTTTGTTTTGAAGTACCATAAAATAATGGCTGTATTGAGGATGTAAGTTATATTTACATTTCTTTTAGAGAAAAGGTGCTTTGGGTAAAGAGTAGCACTGGCCTAATGCGTCATCCATTAACCGTTAGTGGCAGAGAAAAGTTATCAAAGTCAATACATACAGACAAGGATTATTATTATTATTATTACTATTATTATTATTTGTACTACGGGGTTTCTAGAACAATATTATTAGGGTCTATTCTCATTAATTTTATGTTTGAGACTTCCTTGTGCATGTCTTTTCTGGGAACCCTTTCATTAGGGTGCCCATATATTTTTTTTCTAACCTATTGTTTGTTGGTTTATTTTTCACATTTTTTAATTGGAAATTATGTGGGAGTTTACATTTCCAACCATCAATGTTGTATTCAATAGTTTAAATTACTTAGCAAACCATCAAACCATCCAATAGTTTACCCTCCACCAGATCCTTGATTTCTCTACATAATCTTGTGGAATATGATCTTTAATTTCATGCAAATTAACACCCTTCAACAGTTTAGCCCATTAACTTATCTTCCCTCCCTTGCCTTGCCCTGCCCTCCCATCCCCGTAGCTCTTTGGGTGCCCGTATTTTAATTGCTCATTTCTCATCTGACCCTTCTGAGCATTACAGACCTGTGTGTAGAGTGTCCATGTTTTCTTCTCCCATCTTTTCTTCCTTCAAATATAACTGAGAATATCCCTGAAATCCAAGGCTTTTTTTCTGAAGATACCTCAAGGCAAATACTTGAAAGTATATTTCTCTCTTCAGCTCAGTGTAGCTAGTCATTGGCTATAGAAAGAGAACTTTAAAGTGTTTCATCAGGGTCTGTAGGATATATGAAGGTGGCAGTTTTCCCGTCTCTCCTACTTCCTAGCAGGCCTGTGACCCTGGTGTCATGTCTATACGGTCAGAAAAGTATTGATTCACATACTAGAAACCTCAGAATCCACTCCAAATTTCTTAACAGCAGGCTCTGATATTGAGTGAAACCCTTGTCCTTCTGTTTCTTATTCACAAAATGAGTAAATTTGGTTTGATAATGTGTGTTGTGGATTGAATTGTACCTCCCCCAAAAGAAAATGTGTGCCTTAAATCAAATTTTTTATGCCTATGACTATAATCCCTTTGGGGAATGTGTTCTATTTGTTATGTCAATTATCAATAAGGCAAGGTTAGTGTATGTTTTATATTGTATCTATTCCTTTTGCGATATCAACGAGATTAAATGCAGGATAGAACCAAAAGTGGGAAAAGAGAGGTGCCAAACTACATGAATATCCACCATGAACAGAAACTCAAACATACACACATCTTTCTCTAGAGTGAACAGAGAGGGGAAGTGCCTTCTCAATAGACCTGGCTCTCTCACCTCCTCAACTGCAAGAAGACAAATATGCCAAGAGCAACCACTTGCCTCAGTTCTGTTTCAGCAACACTAGACACCTCAGACGGCATTTGGAACCACAAGGATGGAATGCTGCTTTAACAGATGTTTAAAATGTGGAAGTAATTTTGGAATTGGATAATGCATAGAGATTGGAATAGTTTCTAAGTGCCTAATAGGATAAGCATTCAGCTACCAACCACAAGGTCAGTGGTTCAAACCTAGCAGCCACTTTGCAGGAGAAAGATGAAACTATCTGATGCCGGAACAATTTATAGTCTACGTAGGGTTTGAATATACACTATGAATGGGATTCAACTTAATGGCAGTGGTTTGGCGACAGTAAAAGCTGAGATATTCTCAAAGAGACTGTTAGTAGAACAATGGACCTCAGAGGCCATTCTAGGAAGGGCTCAGAAGGACTTAAACAGGAGGAATGAAAAATGAAAACAGGACATAACGATTGAAAAATGTTTCTGTAAAAATGAAAGATATATGTCTTCAGCAAGGATATGGCATCACAATCTTTGACTGATGAGTCTAACCAACTATCACCACAGAATTCCCATTAACTTTAGCCTAAAGTGGACAGAGAAAGAAGAGAGGAAAGAAGGGTGCCTGCCTGTTGCAAGAACAGGCCAAAAGGCAGTATCTTATGTCCTCCAAGAAAGGAACATGCTCATAGCCGGAAGAGCTGGGAGAGCAACAGAACGATGGGAAGGAGCACAGGAAGCAGGGCCCTCTCAATTTCCAAGCATGAGGGCACAGTCTGCTTCTCAAAGTGAGTGTCAGGTCTTTCCATCAGTTCTGGATTGTGGAACTGACCTTAAATTGTATTATGGGGATAATCCTGCCACCCCCAATTAAATAATGGAATATGATGGTCAAGGGGCAGATGAAAGGGGTCTGTTGGTGTTATGAATGTGGGGTCACCACTCACATGGACTAGGAGAATGGAGCGACCCAGACCTGGGAAAATACAGTTGTTTTCCCAGTGGGCCTGGAAGACAAAGCTAAAGCCCAGAGGCAAGAGGACTCCAACCAGAATTCAGAAAGCATAAACAACTCTAGAAGTCTAGAAGGCAGTATCCTTATCTACGGGATTTCCGTGTTAGGCAGTGTTTTCCAAAGAGAAGGAGAGAAAAACAGAGTCAATGAAACTCATACATGTATAAGAAATAAATTTATATCAAGAAAGCATTTCTTTATCAAGCAGTCCAGCCAAACTGAAGTCCATGCATCCAGTGCTACCCAGAGGCCACATCAGACTCATGCAGCTGCCAGTGGAGGAAGCAGAGAGCAAAGCAGGCAGCTGAGAAAGCAGAGACTGGAGAGTGCAGAGGCATGAAAATCCAAGGTGGGCAGGAGCACTTCAGGACCCCTCAGTTGGCAGGGTTAGCAAGCCACAAGGGCTGTGAACTCTGTGGGCTGCAAATCCCAGAGCCAGATGTGCAATTCAGGCAAGCAGAAAGGGAAGAGGAGCAAGAGACAGGATTGCTCAGTGTCACTTGTAGCAAACGTTCATACTCGCTAGGAGGCATCATGGAGCTGTATCTGTATTTAGCGGTGGGACTCTACCCCTACCTGCACACAGGTACCATCACATTCACATATAATTAGACTATAACAGTGTCAGAGAACAGATGATAATTTTCATACCTCAGAGCTAACATCATGTGTTCTATCAGGTTTTGAACTTAGTTCTCATGATCTTTCCTCTTTTTCCATTTTTTCCCATTTGAATGAAACAAAATGTAACTCCTTCCTTCTTACCATTGCGCTTTGGGAACAAACAACCTGTAGGCTCAATTCCTCAGGCTTACCGATGAAAAGTCATTATTGATGCGGAGCCCATGTTTGATTTAGCTCATTCATATGGTGAGATGCTAAGTTTGTCGCTGATTTTAGATTGTTACGATGATGTGACTGAGTCAAAGAGCATTTCATGTGGCAGGACATGAATTTGGGGACCAAAGAATGGAAAGAGATGGATTGTATCATATCTCCCGAAAGGATGTGTGCTTGTGGCTGTAATCCCGTTTGGGAATTGAACATTTTTGTCATGGTAATGAAATAGGATTGGTGTGGGTCTATCTTGAGTCAATGTATTTAGACATATAATACCAATACTTAGACACATGAAAGAGTAAATGCCCATGGGAAAAGAAAGATGCAAACTACCAAAGAAATCTCTCAGAAATAGAAGTTCAAAGAGATGAGGAACATCTACCCGAACTCCCAATGAAACAAAACTTATCCATAGAGCTGGCACCCTGACTTTGGATTTCTAGCTTCTGAAACTGTGAGGAGGAGCCCTGGTGGGTCGTGGCTATGCAGAGGACTGCTAACTTGGAGGTCAGCAATTTGAAGCCCCAGCAGCTCCTCGGAGGAAAGATGATGCTTTCTACTTCTGAAAAGAGTTGCAGTCTCTGAAACCCACCGGAGCTGTTGCGCCCTACTCTGTAGTGTCTCCGTGAGTCAGGATCAACTTGATGGCATTGAGTTTGGTTAAACTGTGAGGAAATCAATGTCTGCTTGTTAAACTAGGCACTTGTGGTGGTTCTTTTAGAGCAGCCATTGATAATGAAGGCAATCTGTAAGATTTTTTGCAAGCTCATATGTTCTATACTTTTACTCTTCGAACAGTTTCCAAATGAGAAAGAAGCCTGAAGTACTTCGCCATCTGTCTTCACCTGCAGTTCCTAGGAATGATGGATTATGCCAATGACACTAGGATCCATAATTTCATCCTTGCTGGTTTCACTGCCACTGGAACTATGCGACCTCTTGCCTTCGTGGGGACCCTATGCATCTATCTCCTCACCCTGGCAGGGAACCTGTTCATCATTGTCCTGGTTAAAGCAGATCCTGGACTGTCCACACCCATGTACTTCTTCATCAGTGTCCTCTCCTTCTTGGAGCTCTGGTATGTCAGTACCACGGTACCCACACTGCTGCATACCCTGCTCCATGGGCGGTTCCCCATCTTATCTGTTGTGTGCTTCATCCAGCTGTATGTCTTCCATTCCTTGGGCATGACTGAGTGCTACCTGCTAGGGGTGATGGCCTTGGACCGCTACCTTGCCATTTGCCACCCACTCCATTACCATGCACTGATGAGCAGACAGGTCCAGCTATGGCTGGCAGGAGCCTCTTGGGTGGCTGGCTTCTCAGCAGCACTTGTGCCAGCCAGCCTCACAGCCACTCTTCCCTTCTGCTTGAAAGAGGTGGCCCATTACTTTTGTGATCTGGCACCTTTAATGCGGTTGGCATGTGTTGACACAAGCTGGCATGCTCGAGTCCACATTGCAGTAATTGGAGCAATCAATACTTGCAACCTTGTATTCATTTTGGGCCTCTATGTTGGGATCCTGAGAGCTGTTTTCAAGTTACCCTCAGCAGCAAGTCGTGCCAAGGCCTTCTCTACCTGCTCCTCCCATATGACTGTAGTGACGCTCTTCTTTGGCTCTGCCTTCATTGTCTATGTTGGGCCACCCGAGATCTGAGCTGATGGCAAAGACAAGCTTATTGCCTTAGTCTATGCTCTTTTTACTCCTTTCTTCAACCCTATTATTTATACCCTTCGTAACAAAGAGGTGAAAGAGGCTATGAAGAGAGTCGCTCAAAAGATTAGGGCTGTGTTAAAGGGATCTTGAAGTTCCCTCAGGTAATCAATCATCCACTAAATAACTGGAAAAATCAGTTCATTGGTGAGAAATGTGAAAGGAGATGAACTATAATGAAGACATAATTAGATCAGGTTCAAGTCTCAGATTGGACCAACAAACAATTGCTTAGGACTTACTTGAGCAAATGCCATCTGAAACTAAGTTAATGCCACCAGGAGAGCATTGAATTTAACTTTTCAGTTAGGGGTGGGGGAGGAAATATATGAAGTCCTTCAGTCAAAACCCCTCTGTCTCAGATAAATTTGAAGTCAGAGTATGAGCCAGTCAGGCTGCGATGTAACAATGATGAACAATACAACTTTCCTCTAGTTCCTAAATGATTCCTCCCCGCTCCCACTACCATGACTCGAATTCGACCTTGCAAGTCTGGCTAAACCAGAGGATGTACACTGGTACAGATAGGAACTGAAAATCCAGGGAATCCAGGGCGGATGAGCCCTACAGGACCAGTGGTGTGAGTGGCGAAACAGGGAGGGTAGAGGGAGAGTGGGTAGGAAAGAGGGAACCGATTACAAGGAACTATATATGACCTCCTCCCTGGGGGACGGACAACCAAAAAGTGGGTGAAGGGAGATGTCGGACAGGGCAAGATATGACAAAATAACAATTTATAAATTATCAAGGGCTCATGAGGGAGGGGGGAGCGGGGAGGGAGAGGAAAAACGAGGACCTAATGTCGGGGGTTTAAGTGGAGAGAAAATGTTTTGAGAATGATGAGGGCAATGAATGTACAAATGCGCTTTACACAATTGATGTGTGTATGGATTGTGATAAGAGTTGTATGAGCCCCTAATAAAATGATTTAAAAAAAATAAAAGCAAGTCTTTAAGAAGCGAAAAAAAATTTGAAGTCAGGAGGAAGTAAATGACTTAACTAAGGTTGCATCACAAGCTGGAAGTAGCTGGAAATAGAATAGCATCATAGGTTTCATTCTCCTAACCTGAATTCTTTCCACTACATCACTTGACTATAAGTTCCATTGTTATTGTTTTTGTGAAGTAAAAAGCCTGCAAAACTTTGCCCCACACCCTGCTGCCACATCCGAGTATCAACCTGCGGAAGTGATGGGAATCTCATTACAGTGATTCATGGTCTTCCCTTGTTGGCCTATATTTCCCATATATTGACTCTCATAATGACATATCTATAGAGAATATGGCCTACTATTTTACACGGCTGCCTGGACAGACTTTCTGCCTGTGGAGTCCTACCATTCCGTTCTTTCTATTTTTATTTCTAGAAGTAAGACCAGACTCCATATCTCACAGAATAATTACATGATCCCTCATATAGATATACCATTGGACAGTTGAATATTTTGTATAAGGTTTCTCAGTAAATAACTCATGGCTCAAAATCAGATGTCATTCCAAAATCAGTGAAACCGAGTTTGAACTTAATATACTTCTAACTAACTAAAAACATTATTTTAAAAATGAAAGAGGATCTGGTACTACTAAATCTTCATCCTCACTACCATACCTATTAATTGAAGCTTTTTACATTCCAGGTAAACCCAGGAATCAGACCACATATGAATATATGAGTTTAAATGGCTTTTTATTAATATGAGCTTGCACCTAAATATGGACTAGGAAGAGAAATTATTTTATACATTACATATAAGCCAAGATTTATATGTATAACATGCTAAGTGATTTTTTTGAAAAGTATTTTGTATTTCACAGTCACAAGGTTACAAAACTCTTGCCTTTATATTGAGGACAATTTCCTCAGTGCTTTCAGTGACTTTTGAACATGGATTTTGTTGTTGTTGTTGTTAGGAGCCCCTGAGTTGGTTCCTACTCATAATGACATTATGTAAAACAGAACCAAACACCGTTTGGTCCTGTATCATCCTCAAATGCTTTTATGTTTGAGGTCATTTTTGCAACCACTGTGTCAATCCATCTTGCTGAGGGACCTCCTCTGTTTCACTGCCACTCTACCAGCCATCACGTCTTTCTCCAGGGACTAGTTTCCCTTGACAACTTGTCCAAAATAAGTGAAATGAAGTCTAACTTTCCTTGCCTTTAAGGAGCATTTTGCCTGTGTGTTTCTTCCAAGACAGATTTGTTTGCTCTCTTGGCAGTCAATCCATGTTACTTTCAATATTCTTAGCCAACACCATAATTCAAATGCATCAACTCTTCATCAGTCTTACTCATTCAATGTCTAACTGTCACATGCATATGAGATGATTAGGCTTTTCTGGGTCTTATACCAAATACAGGGAAATAGATTCATTGTGGACAATTAATACTCAAAATCAATTGGAATCATCTTAGTAAAACCGTATTCATAAAAGTGTGTATGTTTGTGTGTGTGTGTGTCCTAGACCTACTAAATTTAAAAGTTGAAGGTATAGCCTAGCACTTTGTGAAAAAAAAAAAAGCCTCACGATGATTAGAAAGCAAGCTCAAGTTTAAAAATCTCTGATATAATTTCATGGTTGAATTTGGAAAGAGGAATTAGAAATAACAACACATTATCTTTCCTGCTTTTATCAGCCATCATACTGCATCTGTATGTTCTTTTCTGTCCTGCTTTGTAGTAAAAAAAGATTCCAAGTGAGGGAAGTCTGGTGTTCAGTGATGTTTGTAATTCTGTGGGAGAAGCATGTGCAAAATTAAGACATCCTTTATCACAGATTGATGCTTTAAATTCTACCCAGAGCAATTAGTATACTAAGCACATAAATCATAAGCAAATACATACGCATTATTTTAAAGAAAATAATTAAGAAAATTTACCTCCTTAAGGTATAAAGAACACACAGTGGCTTCAAGCATACATAGAATTAAACAAATACTAGGCTATAAAACAAGGCTCAAAATAGTTAAGGGAATTAATATACAGGCCATAGTTTCTAATATTCATGTAATTAAACTGGAAATAACTAATATAAGCTTAAAATGTTTATTAAAAACAAAACAAATAAATAGTTGCTGGTGAGATGATTCTGACACATGGTCACTCATGTGTTACAGAGTAGAACTTATGCTCAGTGTGTTTTTCTTGGTTGTGAACTGAAGGAAGCAATTCACCAGGCATTTCTTCCATGGTGGCATGGATGGCCACCAACCTTTAACAGCTGAGTACAGTGTCTGCTATAAATCTCTATTTCAAGAAACCAAAGGAGATCTACATGCCATACTCATATAAATATGGGAAGCTATTTATAGATATAATACAATCCTAATTCAAATTCCACCAGTACTCTTTAAGAGATAAACAAATAACTGCTAACTACATGAAAAGGAAAAGGACCTCAGATAAGCAAAGAAGAACAAAGTAAGAATTCTCACACTTGAAAATTTTCAAACTTGCTATATAACCATAGCAGCTACCACATCCTAAAATTGACACAACGGGCACACAGGCCAATAAAAAGGGACTGAGAACACTGATGTTAGTACATTCACCTGTGCACAGTAGAAACTCAACTAAGAGTTGGAATCTAATAAATGGAGGTGGTGGTGGAAATACAGTCTCTTTATCAATGGTGCTGGTAAAATTGGATATCCCTTTGCATAAAAATAAAACAACATCCATGAGAGGTTGGAGACAGAGACGCAGAACAGAGTTAGAATTTAACTAGGAATGTGAAGTTGAGAAAGATTTTATTGAGGCAGGGAAAGAACTCCCAGGAGGGGAGGGAGGGCTGAGAAAGAGATGGGGGCATCTTGAGCCCTGGGGCAGGTTCCAAGACCCAACCAGTTAGGTTAGGAAAATCGAGCCTGGCAGTGAGGCAGTAGGATCTATATAGGGCTGGAGTCAAGGACATATGTACTGATAAGGCGAAGGAAGGCCATCTGGTGCTGCAGTTGCAGTGTCTGAGTCAGGATGTGGTCTGTAAGTAAATCATCCTGGAACACTGAGGGAAGGGATTGTACAGACCCAGCCCTGAGAGATAAGCTCCTTGGAATGCTGGAGGCAGGGACTACACAGTCCAGCTCTGGCCTTGAGAGGCAGCCCCACCCCCACCCCTCGCACAGTCCAGTAGGCTATCTTTTGGGAGAGCTGGGGGAGGTGGCTGCATGGGCCAGACCTGGCCCAAACAATCCACACTTCACTTAAAATGTGTCAAATACCTAAATGTTAAATTTAGAATGGTAAATATCATCAAAGAAAGATAGAGGCATGCGTGAGACATAAATAGGCTATCATATATAACAAAAAATGCATGAAGAGAAGCAAATAAGCTATATTACCAAGATAGATGTTTTAAGGGTTAATTACTAATGTACATCAGAAGACTTCACCAACAGAGTAAAAGGAGAGCCTACAGATTGTAAAAACATATTTGGCAACAATATATCTGACAAGAAACTAATTTATCAAGTTTATAGAGAACTTCAAGACACAAGCAACAAAAATACAATCCATTTAAAGATGGGCAGGAGACATGGACAGATATTTCACCAAAGAAGACATTCAGAATGCGAACAAAACATGAAGAAATGCTCATGATCATTAGCCACTACAGAGTTGTATATCGAACCAACAAAGGGATATCATTTCATTCCAGCAATAAGAGCAAATTTCAGTAAGATAGGAAACAGCAAATGCTTGTGATGTTGAGGAGAGATTGGAATCTTCTTACATTACTGATGGACAGTAAAATGGAGGAACTCCTGTGAAAATGATATTGTGCTTCCTTAAAACATTGAGATCAGCAATTCCACGACTAAGTATAAATCTTAAAGAAATAAAAGGAGGGACAAAAAAAGATATGTGCACAGGCATGTTCATTGTAGCATTAATCACAATAGCAGAGATGGTAAAAACCTAAGCACATCTACTGATGAATGGATAAGCAACTATGCTAGATACAAACAATGAAATAGTGTGCTACAATAAAGAGTAACAAAATCTGTGAAACATCTCTTAATGTGGATGAAGTTGGAAAATGTTTTTCTTAATTGATAAATCAGTTATAAGAAGACAAGACTTGTATTAGTTCA